CTTAGAACACACAACTCCTAGCTTAATCCGGTGTCCCTTCTACCTCCCCAGACTGCTCCCTACTTCCACCCATGATTTATCTCAGCATTTGTGTCTCTGAAAGGTGCTGGTAAACCTGAGCTACCCCCTATTGATCTTTCCCCCTTGGAAAAGGTGACATATCCCATTTGAGGCATTGCTACAGCCTGAGACAATGATCCCAGAATTCATTTCTCTATGTACTACTTTAGCTTCATGACATACTGTTTTTAAGGACCGAGAAGTGAAAAACAGGAGTGACTCAGACTTCTGGTTGTCCTACATCATCTGTTCTCTCTTTCCTCACTACTAGACTCCCTTTAAGTTGGCCCCCCAGGATAAAGGTATTTCCCAGTCTCTTTTGCAGTTAGATATGGCACTGTATGAATCACAACAGTGTGGAAAATTGTTAAAGAGATGGGAATACTGGGCCACCTGACCTGCCTCCTGAGAAATCTGTATGCAGATCAAGAAGCAACACAACTGGACATGGGACAACAGACTGATTCCAAATAAGGAAAGGAGTACGTCAAGGCTGTATATTATCACCCCCCTTATTTAACTTGTATGCAGAGGACATCATGAGACATGTTGGGCTGGATGAAGCACAAGCTGGAATCAAGATTGCCGGGAGAAATATCAATAACCTCAGATATGCAGATGACACCACTCTTATGGCAGAAAGTGAAGAGGAAGTGAAGAACCTCTTGATGAAAGTCTTTGAGAATGAAAAAGCTAGCTTAAAACTCATCATTCAGAAAACTAAGATCATGGCATCTGGTCCTATCACTTCATGGCAAATAGATGCAGAAATAATGGAAACAGTGACAGACTTTATTTTTGGGGGCTCTAAAATCATTGCAGATGGTGACTGTAGCCATGAAATTAAAAAACGCTTACTTCTTGAAAGAAAAGCTATGATCAACCCAGAAAATATATTAAAAAGCAGAGACATTACTTTACCAACAAAAGTCCATCCAGTCAAAGCTATGGTTTTCCAGTAGTCATGTATGGATGTGAGAGTTGGACTATAAAGAAAGCTAAGCGCTGAAAAATGGATGCTTTTGAACTGTGGTGTTGAAGACTCTTGAGAGTCCCTTGGATTGCAAGGAGATCCAACCAGTCCATCCTAAAGGAGATCAGTCCTGAATATTCATTGTAAGGACTGATGCTGAAGCTGAAACTCTAATACTTTGGCCACCATGTGAAGAAATGACTTGTTTGAAAAGATCCTGATTCTGGAAAAGATTGAAAATAGGAGGAGAAGGGGACCAGAGGACAGGATGGTTGGATGGCATCACCGACCCGATGGATATGAGTCTGAATAAGCTCTGTGAGTTGGTGATGGACAGAGAAGCCTAGCGTGCTGCAGTCCATGGGGTCGCAGAGTCGGACACGACTGAGCAACTGACCTGAACTGATAGCACTGCAACTAAGTTCTGGTCAATGGGCTGGAATTAGAAATACTGTCTATACCTTACGGAAAGTGTCCTTAGCGGAAAGGATTATGCCCTTCTCCCACGATGGCTGGAATGCAGACTTGGCGGCTGAATCCCCAACAGAATACTTGGACCATAAGAGAGACCACGTGTTGAGAATCACAGGACAGGATGCTAGGAGTTTCCATTTCTGATGAGCTTATGAAGCCTCTTTACTAGCCCCAGACTGTTTTCTGATGTTTTACAGGCAAGAGAAATAAACTCCTAATGTTGAAGACATCATTACCATTTCCCACCAACTCTGTCATTGAATGTAAGACAGCATTATTTTATATATCACTAAGAAAAAGAAACTGCTGCCAATTAAACAGCTACCCATTCAATTGTATGACACACTCCAATTTCAGAGAAGTTCAAATGTGACGAAAGTATGAGTCTTATTATATGTAGTATTTTTGGTTTTTGTTACTCACAGCCAAGTCTAATCCTGATTCAAGAAACATGAGGGAGCAAAAAGACAACAAGTTCTAAATAAAGAGCATGACAATCATGTAGAGGGAAGAACAAGTCTCTCTATAAAAGAATGACTCACAAAAACAGTAGTGACACATGACTCAATTTAGGGAAGTTTCTCCTATAACTTTGTAGTTTGACTTGAATTAACTGGGGGATTAGGTATGGCTATTTGGATTTGGCCATCAAGTAAGATGAGATTCTAGGGCATAAGTGTGCTGGTTTTAAGATGTGGAAGACACAAAGTGTGTTAGTCACTCAGTCATATCTCTTTGTGACTCCACGATCTATAGCCTACCAGGTTCCTCTGGTAGCTATCTGTGGGATTTCCCAGGCAAGAACACTGGAGTGGGATGCCATTCCCTTCTCCAGGGGAATCTTCCTAATCCACAGATTGAAGCCAAGTCTCCTGCACTGCAGGCATCCGGATTCTTTACTGTCTAAGCCAAGGCTAAATCAGTCTCCACTGTGTGTGACTTGGCTTTTAGGGTGTCTGACTTCTTGGTTTCTTCTCCCCACCTCTGCAGGGTCCTTCTGGCTGACTTTGAGAAGGACAAATGGGCAGCTGCTCCCAGAAGCAGCTGATGATCAGGACAAACTTGCAGCCAATAAGCTCTACCGTAGCTGAGATTCACATGGAGATGCGCAAGGCTTTTCCCGCACCAGCCCTGCTATTTATTGCTTTCCAGTGTAATTCAAGCCTTGATCTGGTGCAAAGCTGAGCTGAAAAGCTGGAAAACAGAAAGCTGAAAAGCTAAGACTTTTGGTCCTCAGGACTAGGCCCCTGACCTTAACCTATGACAACCAAGTGTTAATGTACCTGCTGTGACTAAAACATCAAAGGCCAATAAGGCACACGAGAAAGAAATGTGGCTTATTGAAAAGTTGAGTTTAAGACCGATTATTTACTTCATGTGTCATTAAAGCAGGGGCACTTTCTTGAGAAATGTCCACTTGATCACTTTTAAATTATAGCACAGAAACTTAAGTGATCCTGTTTCCTGTGACTGCTTCTTGAATCTACTGGGACTCCAGGGGCCTTTATAGATTTTGTGAACTATGCGCTATCATTTATTGATGGTTTCCTCATGTGATAGATGTTTTACATTTATTATTTAATACATCAACCCCGCAGGTAGGTGGTATCATTCCCATTTTTAAAGATAGTGGAACTATGGCTCTGAGAAGTTGATTAACTTTCTCATGGTATCACAGCTAATCAATGGGCTCTGAACTTAGGCTGATGAAGGCTACCATTATACTTTAGTTGTAATGGACTGTACAAGCAGCCCTTCAGCTTCAGTTTACTGAAACAAGTAAAGGTCTGCTGAGGAATACGTTTATCTTTCCATTCAGAAGGTCCACTGGGCACTGATGACTTGTGATTATTCTGAAGGAAAGCTTTCTCTGAAAAAAAAAAAAAGTTTGGGGAAATGGCAGGAGATGGACTGGATAAGCATTGTTGCTTCAGGCCTTACTTAAATTACCCTCCAGCAACTGTTGCAATGGCCCGTGTAATAACCTGGCAACACAGGACTCTCTGTCAGTGACAGAGGTACAGAAGAGTTCCAACAGAACATTCCCATAGCCGATGAGGTGGACTACTGTTGGGCTGATTGCCTGTTTCTAATGAAATGGGTCATATGACTTTGCTAAAGCAACATCTAATCTATCAACAATATTTTAAAAGTGCTTTTAATAAATTTTCTGCTCACCTTAGTTTCATGCATATATTTTCTTGGGAAGAAAAAAAATTCCCTATACATCCCTATTTGACGTCACCAATTCTGACAAAGATACATTATAATGAATCATGGAAATTTCTTGCATGATCTCATGTTCTACATAAAAACAGATCAGCTATTTAAAGGGTTGTTTCAAATTCTTATGGGTGAGAATCTAATTCTTCTTGGTTTTAATAAAGTGAAAGCCCTACCAAATGATTTTCTCTGGATTGAAACACATTAATATGAAATAAAACTTGATGTCCAAATTCATTACATTTTCCCTCAGATACCAAAGTACAGACACCAAACTAAATTTCTTTTAAATTATTTTATTTTTGTGTAAGCTAAAAGGAAATTTACACACTGAAATCTCAAAAGACCTTAGGCATGCACGTTAACCTTGTTAGAGGTTCTTCTACATGTCTTTCTTTTTTCCATAGGAATTTCCCCAAACATTTAAAACCCATAGTTTTTACTGTATATACAGCCTAAACCATAGCAATCTATGATTATGTCATTTTACACTGTGCAAAATCCTCAAAAAATAGTGGTACAATAGAACAAAAAGATCAGTAACAAGTAAATTTCATTGTAAGACATTCATATAATTTGGTCCTTCTCCAAACCAAACTGATTTAAAACAGACACAATCTCTTTAAACCCCTTCAATCAAGTTCTGACACTGATCCATACCCTATAACAAAAGACCAATCAATGCAAGTACCTTGCAAAAGGTCAAACAGCAATAGGCCAGATTGAAAAGATTAAAAAAGAGCACAAAGATGGTAACAAAAGCCAGACCTGAAACAAACCCACCACACATAAAATTAAAAAAAAAAAAAAAATTAAACAGGGACTTGGAGCTTATTTATGATAGCAAAAGTAATTAAATATACAATATGAAAAATTAATGGGACATTCAATGAAATCTGAAAAGAATGAAGGGGATTTCATAAACAGTGGAGATGTGAGTTTTTAATTTTCATTTTTTATTTCAAAAGTTGTGTAAGAAGGACACCACCAGTGTATTTCACAAAGACATAAATGTATACACCCCAGCAACACAAAAAGAATAAATCTTCAAAAATGTTCACCCCCGATTATTTACATTTGTTTCTAATATAAATTTATGACTTCAGTATGTAAATAAATATACATTACTATGTATACCTTTCTAGTGCGGCTTACCAACAAATCAGCTGAACTTTTAATTTTTTTTTTTTAATTAGAGCAGGTATGCTTTTGATGGTAGGGAAGGGCTGGAAGGAAGGAAAAGCAATTGAAACTGTCCAATTCACATCAGTTACTCATCTGCCTTCTCTTGGGAGCTTGTGGAAGGTGTCAAGGTGGTTGGGAACATCAACACCTTGGCATGCATGAACGTTAGGTCAGGAAGGCTGGCGATCACCTTGATGGCTTCTTCACTCAGGTGCTCTTCTCTTTTTGGTTTCCTGTTGACAAATGAAAAAAAAACAAGTGTCTTAAAGTGACTTTAGCTATAGGCCAAATGGGAGAAAATCCACTCTCAAAGCAGACAGCAACCTGTGGGGACCTGAGTACCTTTTCCTCTGCCAGTCCCTGAACCTTGTCATACCTTGGGGTTAAGTGCTTTCTGTGCCTGAGGTGAAATCTCTTCTGAAAACACACACCGAATTTATGTATGTTCATTACAGTTAGGCATGTCCATGGAGACATTCACATGTACCCGTGTATAGCTCACAGCTCTATTTAAGGTTAGAGGAATCTACCCAAGCGTACTTTTAAATTCTACTTAGGGACTTCCCTGGTGGCCCAGTGGTTAGGGACTCTGAGCGTCCACTGCAGGGGGCGGGGGGCACAGGTTTGCTCCTGGCTGGGGAACTAATATCCTGCATGCTGTGAAGTGCAGCCAAAAAAAAAAAAAAGTTACCAAGCAGAAATATAACGCTGAAGCCCTAGTAAAACTCTGCCAGCTTAGATTTCCCCCTCCCCACCGAGAAACTACCAGTTACCTCAACATAAAGTATGTCTGGCACAAGCCCTCATTAAGTAATTTTCACCTTGGGCTTTCTTCAACCCCAAAGGGGAATTCCAGGACAGAAAGCCCTCAGCTCAAAAAAACCCAGCCTCTGCCCCACTGGGATACAGATGGATGGTCCAAAGCCTGCAGCAGTAGGACTAGTTGCTGAGGCCAAGAATGCACCCAGGCAGGAAGGACTCAGGGAGAGGGGAGTCTCGAAATCTGATGGGTCCTGTAGATGAAATACCCCTAATGTAAGAAATGAGCCGTGTGGAACCCAGGACAGAGAGGAAGAGCTCCTGCTGACCTGGGTCCCTCAGTGCACTACAGAAAATGCCAACTGAGTCTCAACTGTGGCTCACATTGAGCACGGGACCGTAATTCAACCTTAATATTTTCTAGGATGTTAAATACACTGAAAGAATAGCTGCAGTCATAGTGATATTAATTTTTGATCAAAGTTCATTTAAAACTGTTGACTCTACAAGGCTCAATTCTCTTTTATGGTACTCTACTAGGTGGGACACAAGTTATTTCTTCCACCTAAAATTTTTCTTTGTCCTTAGGATGAGGTGAAGGAAGTCAGGAGATGAAACAAGAAAGGAAGATAGATGCAGGCCTTTATTTAATACCTGGACTTTTCTGTTGTAATCACATTTGAGTTCAGGCTGAAATAAAAATAGTTTACAGAACTGAAAAAGCCAAACATCAGACTTTTAAGACTGAAGTCCTCCAATATAAAGGTCAGCTTAAGGCACACTGAAACCATCAGATCAATCTCAGTTCTAGGGTTTCTCAAAAGAAGAGAATCACACTCCAAAATTCTTCTGATTAAAGTCTACATTTTTAATGGCACTTAAATCACAGAAAAACTATGAGGTGGATGGGAAACTGACTATCTGCATTATTCCAAAATAAAACAAGAGAGTCTGGGGCACTTTTTAGTCTCAGAGTGAACAGCTGGAAGGCTCCACAGGAAAGGGCAGCCTCTCACCACTAGTCGATCTCAGCACCACTCACGATGGGGTCAAAATGACATTTGACACAGCACCTATGATGTCTTCCAGCCAAAATGTTTTACCTGAATCCATCAAACCTTTAGATAGAATATTTAGCTGATAGGAAATAAGGGAAATGGAGAAACATTTGAAAACTACTTGAAGGAAGCAAATAGACAAATCCAGAGGTTGGGATGTTCTGTAGGACACATGGACTGACCTTTTCAACCAGCGAGTGTTGTTACACTGAGAAGCCAACAGAAGGGATGGAGGTAGATATACTAGGTTAAAAGTGACCTAGTCCTAACAGTTAAGTACAAATGTCCTAGACTAGATATTGATCTGGAGAAAGCAGAGAGAAAGGACACTGTTGGGAATTTGAATACATACAGCCCGAGTGTTAGATGAAATGAAAATTTACTGAAATCGACAGATGGAGACCACTGACTACAAGAGTAGGCTCAATTTGCATAGACTATAAAATCTCATTTTTGGTTAAAACAACAACTATATGTGTATATTTGCAAAGATAAAGATCTCAAAGAATTGAACTAGGGAGTTACAGTGATCTGACTGGTAAGAATGTGATACTTTAATTAAAAACATTTTGTCTGTATTTTCTTTCTATTCTTACTGCTTTTGTAAAGATAAAAAGTTATTAAAAACAGTAACAAGTAAAATCCCACCTAAATGCACTTCCTCATTTGTGGAGTGCAGATGGGGTGTGGGGAAGGAGAGCAAAGAAGTTTTCACCCAAGGAATGGTTGGTAAAGATTATTCTAGAGTTTCTACCAACTGCCTTCTTTCAGAGGCACCACTTGAAGGCTATCTGAAGTTGAATTTAAAACTACGAGAAGGTTTACACAGCTCATATTTTGTGCACTTAGCTGTAGTCACTAGGAGCGGATGCGCTCTAGTTTTCTTACAATGTAAGAAAGAAGAACGTGCTTGGGAACTTGAAAATAAAATGTTACATCATGGCCTTTCCCCAAGAGGCAAAGGCAATGACCTCTTTTTGATTTATACTCTCCAGTTAAGATTTATCTTTTTGGCCAATGCAATACAATTAAGAGTCTAGAAATAAACCCATACAATTATGGCTAAACTGATTTTCAACAAGAGAGAAACTGGGAAAGAACAGTCTTTTCAACAACTATCACTGGTAGAACTGCATATCCATGTGCAAAAGAATGAAGTTGGATCCCTATCTTACATCATATTCAAAAATTAATTCAAAATGGATCAAAGAACTAAATGTAAGAGTTGAAATTATGAAACACTTATGAGAAAACTTAGTGCAACACTTCCTGACCTTGAGGTAGGCAATGGTTTCTTAGATATGGCATCTAAGGTATAAGCAATGAAACACACATATATGTATATATGTATGTATATAAATATATATATAGGGCTTCCTCAAATTAAGAAACTTTTGTGTTTCACAGGATGCTAACCAAGGAAGTGAAAAAACAGCCTACGGAATGAGATAAAACATTTGCAAATCCTATCTGATAAAGGTCAAGTATCCAGAAGAAATCTTACAACAAGAAAAATATTCTTAAAGAAGAGATACAACTATTCAACAAGCACCTAAAAAAATTTCACTGGCCATCAGGGAAATGTGAATCAAAATGACAATGAGATGTTGCGTCATACCCACTGGCAGGGTTATAACCAAAAAGTCAGATAATAACAAGTCTTGTGAGAATGTAGAGACGTTGGAACTCTCAGACATTATTAGTGGGAATGTAAAACGGGGCCACTGCTTTGGAAAACAGTTTGGTAGTTCTTCAAAAAATTAAGTGTAGCATAACCATGTAACACTGCAGTTCCACCCACAAGAAAACTGAAAGCATTTGTCCACACAAAAACTTGTACATGAATGTTCATGGCAGCATTACTTAAAACAATCAAAAAGTGAACGCAATTCAAATGTACATTAATTGATTAATGGATAAGCAAAATGTGGTACAGCCACACAATGGACTACTAGGCAGCCATAAAAAGGAATGGAAAGTACCAAAACACGCAATAATATGGCTAGCTTGAAAATATTATGTTAACTGAAAGAAGTCACACACAAAAGGCTATATAATGTATTATTCCATTAGTATGAAATAACCAGAATATGAAAATCCATAGCCATAGAAGGCATAATGCTGCCAGGAGCTAGAAAAAGTAGAATATAGGGAGTGACTGTTAATGGGGATGGGGTTTCTTTTAGGGATGATATACATGTTCTGGAATTAGATGGTGGTAATAGTTGCACAGTGACAGACTTAATTTTCTTGGGCTCCAGAATCACTGCAGATGGTGACTGGAGCCATGAAATTAAAAGATGCTTGCTCTTTGGAAGAAAAGCTATGACAAACCTCGACAATGTATTAAAAACCAGAGATATTACTATGCTGACCATCTGTCTAGTCAAAGCTACGGTTTTTCCAGGAGTCATGTATGGATGTGAGAGTTGGACCATAAAGAAGGCTGAGCACTGAAGAATTGATGCTTTTGAACTGTGGCACTGGAGAGGACTCTTGAGAGTCCCTTGGTCTACATACAAGGATATCAAACCAGTCAATCCGAATGGAAATCAACCCTGAATATTCACTGGAAGGACTGATACTGAGGCTGAAGCTGCAGTACTTTGGCCACCTGATGTGAAGAGCCGACTCACTGGAAAAGACCTTGATGTTGGGAAAGACTGACGTCGGAAGGAGAAGGGGATGCTAGAGGACGGGATGGTTGGATGGCATCACTGACTCAATGGACACGAGTTTCAGCAAACTCCGTGAGACAGTGAAGTATAGGAAAGCCTGGTGTATGTAGTCCATGGGGTTGCAAAGAATTGGACATGACTGAGCAACTCAACAACAAAAATGGTTGCACAACGTTGCAAATACACTAAAAGCTACTGAATCGTATACTTGAGACGGGTGAATTTCATGGTATGTGAATATATGTCAATTAAAAGGTAAAAAAAAAAGAACAAAAAAACCACATATGCCTTTTGAAAACTAGTCCTTTGGCTTATATAAGCTTCAGCTAAAAGTCTGTGGCTATTAACTAGCTGCTACACACTGATTAGGATTAGGAAGTAATTTTTCTCTGTATTAGAAAAGGCAAGCTAGAAGATGGAACTATTTTAAAACTGAGAACTTGCATTTCTTTAAAAACTAAGTCATTTTCACAATCTATGTTTAGAAAGAGAAGAGCACATGTATTTTCTCTTACATATGCAAAGGCATTTGGAAAAGAGTATGGAATGTTGTTCGCTATATGGCAAATTTCCTCTACCTAGACCACTGTTTCTTAACCCTTCCTCACACTACAGTTCCTCAATGCTTTTTCACTGTGTCTTCTGTGTACTGACAAAAGCCAAGATTTTGTTGGGGTGTACACTTCAAATTTTGTTTTAATCAAAAACAAAAAATGAAACAAAACCTAAAAATAACAAAGACACTTAAAAAATTCTGTTGAAACTATGTCACCACCCTCTCTCTTCCCTGTACAACTGAGATTCACTCATGGGGACATTTTACAGTATTAACTTCTAATTGTAAGACCTGTGAATATTTGCACTTCTCACCATTTTCGAATAGTTAATTCCTCAAAACAGAAAATTCAAAGGTGGCAACTTGTTTTCCTTTCAATTCATTGTGTTTTAAATATGAAGCTGGACAGGTATTAGTGACCAATTCAGTTACAACACTAACCCCAAGATGCACACTACAGTTTCAGTTCATCCCATAACAGTACAGAATAAGAGAAAAAAATGAAAATAAGTTAAAAGTTATTTAAGTTGGAAGAGTGGAAGAGTGTCTCTGTACAGAATGTTTCAAGGGTGAGTTGCAAAGTTAGGAGAGCAAGCAAGTTAACTACGTGGCTTAGAGCTCCTCCTAATGGCAGAAACAATGAATTCTCACCACAGAGACTTGCAACATTCCTACAGTTCCCTCAGTGAGACTGCAGAGGGAAAAAGGTGAGGAAACACTAGGACTGCCCTTAGAAAAGGCTGTAGAAAGCCCAAATGATAAAAAAAAAAAAAAAAAAGCATCACTTTTTTGCTTGCTTTTAAAGTCATTGGCCTTTAGTTAACATATATAGAAAAAATGGATGAGAAATTTTGAGTAAGAAGAACATTAAGTTGAAAATACAATTTATTTGGAAAGAGAAAAAATTAGAAAGCAAGGGAAAAAATCCACACTAGCTTGATAGGAGGCTTAACTGTGCCAGGTAATATTACAACAAAGAAATGGGCGACGAGAATGAGGGAGAGAATCTGCGGCTACGCAAGAATGGGCAGACTACAAACCCATTCCTGAGAAGAGTTCAGGGCAGCCTTGCTTATAAAACATATAATAAGGGATTTTCTTAATTATGAACATTAAGTGATTAATAATAATAGCTATTGAATGGATACTTCAGCACACAATACAGTTTAAAAGGCCATGTGAAAAATTCAAGCCAAAGTTTTAAGACAGGTAAGCATTTATTATTCACAAAGAAAAAAGTTAGTTTTTAAATGGATGTTTTTCTACAGAAGGATTGATTTAAAAGATAAATCTGAATTTGACATGTGAATGGAATGTATTTACCCAGGAGAAAGCGCTATAATATCTCTGCCTAACTGGGCAAAGGTCAGTATTTCCACTTTTTTTTCTTGGCCACACCATGCAGCATGTGGGATCTTAGATCCCCAAACAGGGACTGAACCCGCACCCCACCCCCTCACCTTGGAAGCGTGGAGTCTCAATTACTGGACTGCAAGAAGAGTCAAAATATTTTCATTTTAAACTGCCAGTGAATCAGATTTGGGACAGCAGAGTTGGTACCCCAGGCAACACTGGTATCTGCTCTCGCAGCAGAGGTTTCCGTCACAACGACCACCTTCTTATTAGAGACTGCCTTACTTTACGGCTAGCGCGTCAGAGCAGTGGGTTATTCCAGAGCTAATTATGTAAAACTAAAGGTTTTTTGAATCCTACACACGAGCCCACATGACATTCCTGGTATCTGAGAAAACTGCTTTTCTAAAGGTCATGAACCTAAGGGGATCCCAGAAGGCTTGTTAAAAACAAGGCTTCAGGACCTAAATCAAAGGTGCCACACATCAGCAAATATTCAGAAAACAAAACAGTGGCTGTGCCCATCTCTCTTAGCCTAGAGGTGAAAGGATTAGCTTACATGACTCTGGGATTGTCAAACTGGGACCCCAAAGATGATCACCTCAGTAGTCAGGAAGGAAAAGGGGGAGCATTTCTGCAGTGGTTTTATGATCTCAATTCTTTAATCAGACTCTTCTGTTACAAAGTTGGGTATAGGCGTAGGGAAAGAGAAAAAGACCACATCTGTCAGCCCTTTCCAGTCTCTCATGAAATAGCTCTGCTCCAGTAAATTCACAATTAAACATAACTTGATACTATTTTCTGGAATTGGGCATCCATTGCATTTATATAAAGTGAATTTTAGTACAATATATTGAAATACTACCAACTTATATGCTTTCCCATCTGGGCACTTTGTTCAAACACAGAATTCAAAATTAGGGTGTAATGAACACTAGCTTTTACCTGGTAGATGTGCTTGTCTTCTCTACTGTGGACATGAGTCTCGCGAATGCATCAGTCACTTTGAGGCTTGAGGTGGAGATTTCCAGCTTAGAAGTTGTTAATTCATACAACTCTGGATCCACACCTTATAGTATAAAATGATAGTCAGTGATGGTGTGCTGCAATGACTTACTCAATTAGCCACAATCCAAGATGCAAAAGGCAATTATTCTGTAAACATCTGAGTCTTTATAAGTATAACACATCTTTAGAACACTGTAACATTGTATTTACTTTTTAAATTATAAATTCCACTTTTCAGAGTTTTTATAAAGTAGGAAAATACTTTTTAAAATTCCACTTTGGTATAAATATAGCCTTAATTAATCTAATATTTATGTAGCAGATATCATTCAAATACTTATTAAAAAAAAACCTGCCTGCTATAGGAAACTCCCTAAACGCTGGATTTGTCTGTGATATGAAAGTTAACAATGTTTTACAAATAGAATGCACAGTGATTTGTTACACAATATGACACCTCAATTTTTAAAGGGACTGATTTAACCTCAGTTTTTGAACCTCTATTTTCCCTTATCTCCATGACCATTTTTCCTCCGTATTTTCACTCATACCCCCAAATTTGGAAGTTAATGTAAAGTCTCACATACACTAAATGATTTGGTTAATTTAAATACATTCTGACTATCTGAGGACATGAAATATTATCCAAAAAATTAAATTATTATAAAGAAAAGTTATATACCACAATGTTCTTCTTTAGTTAAGAAGTGGGGAGGTAAAATATTTTCAGAAAAAGTGAATAAAAGTGCTACTTTTGAACAAAAGGAACATTGTCTCAAGGGTTAATTACACTCCTAAAGTTTCACGGCTGAATCTAGTGGCTAACAGTTCAAATATCTTCTTGGAAAAATTCAAAATGAAGCTGAGTTCATTAGGATTAGATTTATTGTAGAAGTCTAGTAAAATCCTTCCTGTCTGACTTCATTAAAATACACATACATATTTTTAAACTTCCTTGAATATTAATTTATATAAAATATGATGACTACAAAAAACAAGTAACAAGTATTTTCAACTCATGCTAAGCTTAGGAAAATAAAGACAATCAGACAAAAATTTTTTAATTCTACACTTTCTTTGGTTTCAGCAAATTCAGTAGTTTTGAATAGAAAAGCAGATTTTAAGTACAAATGTCTTCTAGTTCCATCAATTTCTACTTATCATTTTTTAAAAAAGTCTTAAGATCAGCAGATAAAGTTATATATAGAAGAGTCATATATTGATGCTTACAAGTTATCTCCTTTTAGGGTATTTCAAGGTTAAGAATAAAATCAGGAACTGCTTTCTATGAACCAACTTTGTAGCTGACTAGCAGATGTAAACACAGATCTCAGATGTTTACAGAAATTATACCAGCAAAAGCGGCTTTCACAGTTACCATGTCCAACAAGGCAGGAAGGCTATAGAAAATGTTGACTCTCCCAAGTTCTTAATAGTTCATTAAGGTACAGTTTCAAAATATAATTTAAAAGCCCCTTTCTATTTCTATAATAAGCATAAATATGCAGCAAAAATGCAAAAATTTACAGATGCTTGTAAAGCAGGACCAGATGAACCCAAAGCACCTCGTTCCTCTACTGTGAAAGGTTCTATTCCAAGTAACCACAAAATTTAGGTAGATGGTGAATGCATAATGCAGAATAAACAACTGCAATCTGACTGGCAACAGGAAAGTGCTAGTGAAAATTTAGTTGGGTTTGTAAAATACTGGCCACTTGGCTGTCAAACAGGAAAGTGGGAGATTGAAAACAACAACAACAACAACAAAACAAAATCCAAATCAACCTCCCCCAGCCCTCTAAAACCATTATCACCAAAAAAAAGTACTATGGCTTTATTTTATATTTTTCAAAACCAAGATAACTACTCTACACAAAAAACTGGAGAGTAATTTTTTTTTTTAATGGAAAAGATTTTTTTTTTTTTAAACAGAACCTTAATGAGGCATAGTTCAGTTACAGAAATAAAACTAGCCAACCAAGTTCTATGCCAACCTCCTAAGTCTCAAACACAAAATAAATAACTGCAAGCTAAGACAAAATGACTTTCCCAGAAACAAGTCAGAAAAAGTGCAAGCAAGTGGTGAAATGGAATACTCAGGGAAGTGTTTACACCTACAGCTTGATGGTAAGTTTTAACAAAACCCAGTAGCAATAAAGCAAGTCAAAGCATCTTTATAGTAATCAGGTTTACACAGAGGCTAGAGCATATTGATGAAAAAATGGAAGAAAAATATTTAAGAGGTTCTGAAGTAAGGATCACAATCGACCATGCTAATTTCACTTCCATTATAGCTATAAACCTCAGAAACTGCTTGCTCTTCTCCAAGCTATGTATACTGAACCTGGTTATCAGGTCATTTCTGTACTTCTTTATTTGGTCAGATTATTTGTGCTTTTATGGATGACTTCTGAGTTTGACATGTAACCAAAAGTTAAATTTAAACCAGGTTTTTAGGCATCCAAAAATAGTGACCTCATTTAAGTTACCATACAGTTCATGACAAAACAAAGCTGAGAGCAAATTAAAAATAGGAGCTTGGTTGGTGATGGACAGGGAGGCCTGGCGTGCTGCGGTTCATGGGGTCACAAAGAGTCAGGACACGACTGAGCAACTGAACTGAACTGACCTCATTCTTGGGATTATAGTAATAAGGAAACTGATACATAAGTTTTTTGGTTCCCCCACCCCCCATTAAGTATTAAAAACTACTCATCCAGGTCATTCCATAGTTCACATGTATTTAGAAGTAATTTAAATAGTGAAATACCATATTGAGGTTAAAACCAGACATAGATTAGTTTCTTATATGCTTGTTAAATCTTGGAAACAATGAAAATGATAACCAAGGGATTAGATTTGAGGAATCCAGTCACTCTACAAAACGGCCTTGGAACGTCCTTATAATACAATCAGATTTCCATAACCAGGCTTGGAGATGGGTATCCTGGGTCCCAGCCTCACCCTTAGCTGATTATTCTCTTAGCCTCCCCCATTTTCCATTATAGCTCCTGAACTGCTAGAAGTGGGTGGCAGGGTTATCTAGTTGAATAGAACAAAACCAGCAAATTCTCAGGAACCAGGCTGGCTATCTACCTGATCCTAGTAGGGACTGACAGGGACCGTCACTACGCATTCTGGCATCAGCATCTACAGGGCACTGTAATAGCCATCTGGTGATCAAAAGGCGTGATTACCAGAGCACAAGCAGGGATGACAGAGAGTCATTAAAATTATATTAAATAAAATATAAACATAAAAATGCCATTGTATTTTAATTTTTTATTCAGTTAGAGAATGACAAAGTACATTAGTCCTTGGGTCAATGAACTGAACTTTTGCCAGGCTGAACATTAACAGGCACTCCAATAAGTTTTAATTTCTAGCTTTTAGTATCTCACAGCAATTATTTTCTGCTATCACCTTTAACATTTTATTTTTCCCTCCATGAAAAACTAACAGTAAGCTTTCTATTCAAGAGCTACATAAAAACAGCAATAATTCTATGTGGGAATATATAACTAAGTGCTAGACTCTAACATTTTGGAACCTAATTATACATTTAGCAGCACTAATAAATAACTAATTGAACACTAGAATCTGTAAAGGTTCTATTATCACAGACACTATAATGTCACTGTGTACTAAAATATTCTTATATATCTAAATTTGCATTTTTTCAAATGGTTCTGTAGAATATGCTTTAAAAAAAAAGCATATAAAAGATCACATTTTCTAAAAAAAACAAAAAAAATCACATTTTCTATTTACAGGGGGGGAAAAAACCCTGCCTTTAACTATGTAAAGGACATTAGGGCTGTTCTGTATCTAGAAACTACTTTCAGCTCTGACTATTACACTCTGACAAACCTTTCCTTAAAATACATTTTTCACATAAGTCACTTGTTATAGTCAGATACTAGAAAATAACAGTAGATAGATGAAAGAAAAGTATTAGAAAGACATTACAGATAATATAATCTATTTGTTTCCTTGTTTATAGGAAAGTCAAGTGATGTGGTCATGCTTTTAGTAAATATACTAGAATTGTGGTTTTAACACTCTGCTGACCTGGGATTGTGGTGCTGCTGCTAGAGCTACTGTCATCCACGGGCCCAAAGAAATCAAGGTTCAGAAGAGTGGAACCTCCACTAGCTTGAAATTCAGTGACCGTGTTGGTAGGCAGCCACACAGAAGGTAAGCCAAGGGAGGAGGGGTTATGTGTAAAAAGGGGTAAGACACACACTTGAACATGCAGGTTATAATTAGTAGTCATTACACATTTTAAAATCAACATTAAAACAATGTGTACAGTATTAGTTTTTCATTGCTAAGGACATTTCTAAAGTAACAGTTTAATTTAATGTACATTTTCTCATGTACAATGTAAATAATTCAACACTTTGTAAGGTTTTAGTCAGGAGTTCAGTTCTTTTAATCAAAACTTGAAGCCATACCAGAAAGACCAAGGGGGAAAGTGTACCCGTTAAAGGGAAACAATACTTTAATCTCAACCCAATATTAAATCACTGTACATGCCCAAATCAATCTTTTATGTTAGTAGTGTTGGTTTCTAATGAATGATTTTAAAAGTGACAAAGTTGTCAGTTTCAGGACACGCACCAATACATTAACTTAGTTTAAAATAAAATAAGGTAATAGAAATGTCATAACTGCCCTACCCTGATGTGCAACCTCAAGCTGTACTGTTCCCCTTTAACTCTGAAACAGTAATCAGAAATAGTATACATTTTTAAAGAAGTTTTTTGTTAATAAAAAGCATGATGATTTGACTGAATAGGACACCAGACAACAGCAAAAGGTGCATCCAGGCTTTCCTTCAGCACTGTTATTCAATTGGATGCTTTCCAGGTACCCTAGGATCCCCCACTCTAAGGCAGAGCTGGTAAGAGTAACAGGTGTTTCAGACCATGGCTCAAACAACTTATGAAGTATAAGCAGTAAGAATAATTGTACTTTAGAGTCCGATTAAAACTTGTGATATCAACACACAGGAAACCTAGTATTTTGTGTTATTAAAAGACCCCACCTTATTAGAATAAGTTAATCCTTTCTCAGGATTTTCTTTTAAAGCCATAGGAGAAACCAATTATTTCTGGAACTACCTACTAGTATTTTGAGATAAGTTTTAGAAAAGGAGCATGAAAATCATTCATTTTTCATTTGCATACAAGTGCTCTATAAAATTAAGTCTGAAAACTACTTTGAGTCAATAAATATGGATCTATTTGCACATTGTTTTTGGTTAAATAATTGTGCTTTGTGCTTTAAAGCAGCCTCTAGACACAAGACTTGGCATCCAAGAAAATTCCATAAACTAAAACTACAGAAAAAAATTTCAAATAAATTGGTCTACCTAAAATGTTATTTAAACTACCTAAATATTTGTGAGAAATAAAGAAGCTTATCTTTTGACTTAAGATAAGAAGAAACTAAAGTTTTATCTGGTTACTACTACTTAGATATGGACATTAATACTGTTAATAATAGTAACAGCTGGTTTCATGAGCAATTACTATTCAGAAAGAAAGCCTGAATTTCCAAAGATAAGAAGTTATGTTCAAACAAAAATGGAAATCAGCAGAGAGAAGTCTGTCTGAACTTTGTAGCTTTCTTAACTCTAGCTCTGGCGCTAGAGGCTCTACGGAGAGACGTACCATCTAAAGGGTTAGTAAGGCCACTGCTACTCCAGTCAAACTGGACGGGTGGTAGAGACTCCTAGAGTTGAAAACCAAAAAATCAAAATTAATCAGTATAGGCTGCAGCAACATAAAGAATCCTTAAAAACAGAACAAAACACTATTATAGCAAGATCATTAGGCAATAAAACACCTAAAGACAAAGCTGGGATAATTTACAATTTCAGGAGGTTATCTACAAATATTAACACAAACTGAAATTGCAAAATTTATAAACAGTACAGCTTGTTGACATTAAAAATGGTGTATCTGAGAAATGGAATTATCTTACATTTTCAAACAGAAGTTTATAGACTGATTCTATATCAAGATTTCAATCTATTGTCCATTCACAATTTAAACTACTGGCTTGAAAACCTCACTGATCTTTTTTCACTAAAGAGTGATCTATTTTATTTTAAATGATTAGCCACTTACAATTTCTTAATAGAGAATACAAGGCAAGAGAGAAGGCAGCATACTGAATTGGAGGCAAGCTGGGTTATTAAGGACTAAGAAACTAGCCGTATAAACATGGATGGTAATTTATTTGGTTTCCTTATATATATACAATTTTTTAAAAAAAACTTATAACCTTCTCTAATTTAGAAATTACTTATAATCAGTATTATAATTTTTAAAATAATGTACTGAAAAGTATACTCAGAACTCATTTGAATATTCTATGTTTAAAAACTCTGTTAACTGCCAAACACATAAGGATAAAATAAGCAAATGATAAATATAAGATGGAAGGTAGTACAAAACATTTTGAAAATGATCCATGCTTTATTTTAAGAATATTCCTGACAGGGGGAAAAAAATACATTTTCTTCATTTTCTTCTTTTATTTTGGGAGTGGTGTTGGCAACACTTATTGAAATAACCTTTTACTAGACTCTTACTATCAACATGTTATCATCTTTTTTTTCTGTTTTGCTCACTGTAAGGTAGGCACTTATTAAAATTTTAATCATTTTTTCTCTGTAGACAAAGACACTGTTCCCTGTAGGAAAAGAATGTGAACTGGCTAATTTTGAAAGTCTAACCCCATGATATTATAATACAATTGCTTTGATAACCAGTGATGGGCATATTGCTATCAGCATTTGGTCTCCCCCATATCAAGTCAGGCCTGGAGATATAAACAAAATAAAATACCGCTAATAGTGGCAGCCAGGATTAGAGAGGTGGAATGGGGGGTTGGTGAGGGAGATGGAATGCTGTATCTTGACTGTGGTGGTGGTCACATGAAAAAATAGCACAGAACTATACACGCATATTGAGCAAATGTCATAGTCTTGGTTTTGATATTATTCTATAACTATGTAAAATGTGATTGTGGGGAAAATTGGTGAAGATACAAGGTACCTCTTCTGTATGATCTTTGCAATTTCCTGTAAATCTATAATTGTTTCAAATAAAAGTTCTAAAAATCCTGGTGAAAATCTAGTTCATAACCTACCTGCAAGACTGATAAATAATATTTATAAAAGATCTTCTTTAGCTGATCTTAAAAACAAACAAAAAGCTCTAGGTATTCCAACAGATTCAACTTGTTCTACTTCTCAATCAGGAAAACCTTTAGAACTAGGATGGATAAAACTCAGATTTATGTAATAACAAAATTTCTGGGTAAAGCGAAGCAAAGCTCTTTCATTAACACGTTTTATCTAAATGATGTCAAGTACCTGGATGTTTTGAAATATTTCAATGATTTTCTGGAATTTTACTTTTCACAGACATGTATGGCATTTTGAAGACACAACCAATATTATAATAATGAGGTACTAAATCATGAATCAAAATTTAGTGGAATTGAGACAGATGAAAAACAGATACCTAATTAATTACAGGTTAACTAATGGCACTGACAAGCAGGCAACTCAAAGAGAAAGCACTGGAATGGAACATTTAAAAACAACTTCATGTGGCATGAATGATTACCACAGAGACCAAAGGAGACAAGTTCATAATAAAAAGAGGGGGAAAGAAAAGGTTAGAGACAGGAGACTTTGGTTCTAGTCCTAAGTACAGCACTGACATGTGATTTTAGGTAAATTACTTAGTCTTTCCAAATATGTTTTCTAATTGTAAAATGAGTACTGAGCTAGACTGCCATCTTTTTCTTTTTTCTAAGATTCTGATTCACAACTGAAATAGCAACATTAAGTAGCCTGAGAGAGGAAATTTGCTGGTGGTAACCAGGTGGATAACTGCTAGCCAGAGAGCTAACTCCACTTGGCAGTGAATAAAGCATGGTTAACATCCTAACCTTACTAAGAGGGAATCAGTATGGCACTGTGATTGGTGTGACCTTGAAATTCAGTGAAAAAAGATGTCAACAACAACAAAAAGTATCACTACCTGCTTTTTATCTGTAAACTGTTATTTTTTTTCTTTTAAAAAAAAAAAACCCATATTAACAGATATCAGTAAAATACTGAATTTCTAAACAAGAGATATAATGGCAACAAGACTGATGAGTACAAACTCATTTGAAAGAAAAGATAAAAATTTAGTGGGTACCAAACTGAAATAGAAAAGAGAGATCAAAAAGCATGCAGTCATAGTCAGAATTATGCCACTATGCTAAGTTTGAAAGTCACTGTTCAAGGATGCCAAAACATAAAAGGAAGGTTTGCCACATGCTTTTTTGGGAAAAAAATTCAGGTATTGAACAGGTCTTTGCTGACACATTTTGCTAAGCTTCTAGCACTAACGTTTATGGTTGTTTCACCTGAAAATTATCATTAGGAGGAAGACTGAACAGCCAAAATGTTATGTGAAAAATAATAAATACACTGTGTGCCAAGGAAGAGTGGTAAGAAATACACTTTATATGGAGAACCTTTAGAATGCATTTCAGGTGTTTGTTGAGTATTTTAACCTTAATCAAAAGTATGGAAACAAGCAAAGATCATGCAATTTAGTGATGGAGGTCAGGCATCTTAGCACAAAATTCTGATATGCATGCTGAAATCTTCAGTTTGAATGTTAGAAAGCAGACCTACATAGGCTCAAGTCAATTCAGAAATAACTTTGAACTTCCATTGGGAAATACTGTTTTCATTGGTTTTCCAAAGCCTAAAAACTAAAGCCAATGAGGATCACAAAAATACCATAAAAAGTATAGAATAAACTTGTCAATTCAATATTGATGTGTATTTTTAAAAAAGAGAAATGTGTATGTGAAACAGAATAAAAGGCAGTACTTGATTAAAAAGAGCTTTTAAAAAATATAAATAACAAGAGACCAAGTTCCATCTTCTAGCAAAAAAGTTAGATATGCTTCAATGTCGCTGAAAATTCCCATACTTGCCTGTAACTAGGGAGACAGTCCTTTGATTACAAGTACATAGGGGTCTATATGTTTGTACAGAGATGGCAGCAGCTGAATCCTTGTGCAGCTACAACTAACCGCCATCAAATTAATACACGTTGATTTCTACTAAAAATTTTCTATTAAATTAACACACATGCTTTTTATTAGGTTATCAAGACTTTTAATCAAGTCTATAATTAAATTATATAGAGGTATGACTAGGCAAAAATGACAGGTGATAGCTAACTAATAAAATAAGTAATAGCTTATGGGGTTTGTGATACATGGAAGTGGCAGGATGGAGGAGAAGAGGAGGCGGAGGCAAGGAAAAGTAACAAGTGGCTCAAATTAAGAACAGCTCCATTTCCAGAAAACATACCAGGCAGTACTCAAATTACTTTCCTAACACCTAGCACTGTAGGAATAAGAATGCTGACTGAGGCAGAAGTGAGAAGGTGCTGTAATTCTGGAATCTGCACAGACAAGGCAGGCCTTGAGAACAGCTGATAGCCAGAGGGCAATAAACATCCAATGAAAGGAAGAGAGCTAAGGACAGACTCGGCCTACTGAGACATTTTGCCCAAGGCACCTTGCCTGTTGCCCAATCAATAAGGCCAGGCATTTTATGCATTAGGTCTCCAAGCCCATGAATTCAGTAATAAACTGGTTTCAGAGGGACGATGAAGCTAAGCTCAAGTATAAACCACAGTGGTACACAGCAATAATATTACATGTTTCTTGAAACACACCTGAAAAGACAGGACCCTGCTTTACAAAATCATTTGCCAAAGTATGTTCTTCAAAACACTAGTTCTACAGATATTATAAATTCTTCTTCCCTGATTCCTACAGAAAAGGGTTCTATGGCCAAGTAAATTTGAGAAATGAAATAAAATTAAATAGGGTTATTCACTGCAGGATTTTTCAGAGTCCTTAATGTATGTGTTGTGAACCTCCAAGGGTTGTTTAGGGTTTGATATGAAATATTTCCCGAACTCACTTCACTATGGAACCCTTCTTTAGTGAAGAGTGTTCAGTGGAACACATTGTGGGAAAGGGTGTCCAAACATGCATTTTTGTGTTAGACATAATTAGTGATGATATTTAAGGTTAAGAAATGACAAACACAGCAAGAATAGATTTTAGAGATGGTAATGTTCATTAAGAATATTAATATTTTAAAAAACAATTTTAACCTGCACTGAGTCAGTTGCTAACTTGATGTCAAAAAAGCAAGCAAACCAAAGTAGCTATGTTCTCCCAGGAAAAAAGTGAGAGGAAAGGCTTTAATATTAAATATATTTTTAATATTAAATATATTTGACTGAAATATGATTTGTGCTTAAATGTACCAGAGTAGTAAAGGATAAGAAGGGTAAGAAAGCCTTCTTTTTTTCTTAATCCATACAATATTTTGTTAAAGGCTGTATCATTTTCAACTTAACAGCTTTATTCAAACTCTTAAAACAATAGTTATTGATGTAATAACACACCTAAATTTTATAACTTTATAAAATTTTTGCAAGCTTCAGGAAAAACACATAATGGCAGACTTGAAGAGCTGGTATAAATGCTATGTTTTCTTTTTTTGAAAATTCAGCACTTACCAGATTTATGTGTCAGTAATAGTGATCACACAATGTACTAGCTGTAAGCAACTTTTTGCTGCTTCAGAGTTCTTATTCTATAGGTAAACAGACTAAGGCTAGATGGGTTTAAAGGACTTACCCATAACTAGCCAGTTCTCAAACTGTCTTTTCTATTTTTTTAAAGAGAATTTTCTCATTGTATTTCAAAGGATGTTAGTAAGAACTGAAATCACACCTATCATGAAACTAAATTTTTAAAATATTTTAAAAATGGAAAGTTACATATTAAGGGAAACAACAATGTGTGTGGACATATGTGTACATATGCATATACATATGTACATATGCATAAATGTATCTATATACATCCAGATATTTTTACCTGGAATTGGTCAGATGTACATGTGTTCATTTCTGGTGACATAGTGGTGGTCTGACCGATGGAAGCGATTTTTTCTGCAGCAGATAGTGGTTTCAGTGGTTCCTTGGTGGGCTCTAACATACCCTGAAAAAGGCATATTAGCTATTAGTTGGGGGAAGGATTGGCCCATAAACTTCACAAGAAAGTTAAACTAGCAGAAAGCAGAAAGAAAACAGGTCATTTGGATAGTACTGAAGACAAAAAGCAACTAGTCTTAAATTTTGTTTAGTGAAAATCCTACAGCACTCTAATGGGAAATAATTCATAATACCTTTGTAATCCAAACTTTTTGAACAAGACCTTGTAATTTAAACTGGATTTGCTTTAGAGTGCCTGGTTATCACTGTCACAAAAATGCACAAACACGTGGAATGGTGGGGGAGGGGAAGTGGCAAGCAAAACAGCCTATTACATCCATGTCCTGAGAATCCAATACTGTTCTGATGTTTCAGACGCAGAACTGCAGGAAGGGCACTCTTCATACACATTACACCATGGTGGTACTTGAGAGGTGGGAGTGGATTCTAAAATACACCACATAGTGTGATGACATCCATAAGCTACAACGTGAATTTAGTGTCTGATCCTTGCTCACTACAGGATGGGAGCCTTAGTTCTTTGGATTTGCAAAGCAGAGGCACAGTCATTTCAGAGGGGAAAACATCTTATATGTTCCACTAGGCATGTTACGAATCTAACACACTCCTTCAGTAAGAGAGAAAGACACTCAAGATGGGTGCAGAAACAAAGAAGAAAAAATAATCAGCACTTTATATCTGTTGTTCTACCAAACATTAAAAACAATGTGTTATTTTCATGCCAGGTTACTGGCATGAAAGAAGGCCCAAGCTTTTACACATTTTAGAATAATAACTTGACAAGCTCTTGAATTATCAACCAGATAAAAGTCTCCTTTTATGTGGGGTGGGGGGGGTGGGGCGGGGCAGGGAAGCTGCTAAGTCTAACAATCTTATAGTTAGAATCTATACATTTGCTTTCAGGAGAATCCCCCTACTTTCATAAAATTGAGCATAAGCTAAAATAAATAACTTACATATATATCAATAGTTCTTAACAACAGTACGCGTGAAAGGCTTTAATCGAGCATCTTGAAAAATGAAAATAAATTCATGGTCCAATTCAATGTCATATGCATTATAAAGGCATGTGCCCTTCTAGAAACACTCCATGCGTGTGGTAAACCATTACTAGTCTTAGCCAACTTTTCTAATGTGAACTCTCCCTAAAACCAGTGGTTCTCAAAGTGGTCCCCATCAGTAGCTCCTCTATCATCTGGGAACTTCTCCTACCCCAGACCTACTGAATAAGAAACTATGGGTGTGGGGCCCAGCACTCTTTCAAGCAATTCTAATGCACATCAAAGTCTCAGAACCAGTGACTCAGCTGACTGCTTCAGGTACTACTCCTCCAGATGAGATCAAAAGATATAGAACATCTCATGTGTGTAAAGCACTATGGAAAAAATCCAGGTATCTTTAAAATTTGAAATCAGAAAAACCAGATATGAAAAAGAATGCTTCTAAATGTAAGGCATCAAAAAGAGGGAGGAGGAGATGATATATTCACTAAAACAACTTTGGTATTAAAAAGCTTACAAAAATGGTAAAACTACATTACTAATAAAAGGTTGTAATTAAGAGAGGGAAAAAAAGCACAGATATGAGTCTTTAGCTCTTCATAAAACTTAAAAAATTGGCTAATGTGTTGAGTCTAACACAGAAGCATTAAATAGGTTACTGTCCCCAACATGCAGAATGAAAGTGCCCACAAATTAAATTCCTACTTCCTATTCAGAATATGACAATAACACCATCAACAATCTCTAGAAAGCTACTTCTTGAGAAAAGAGATCCAAATAACCAGAAAGTTAAAGAAACATTATGGACTATATTTACCTACAACATAAAAGAAAGTAGGGATGATCAAGGTGTTTTGAAAATACAAGATAACCATTCACAAAGGAGCAGAATTTGACTTTTATAAAAAGCTCAAAGAAGCTTTTTGTCCAATCTCACAAAACAAACAAAGACAAAACAAAGCAAAATTTCAATTCAGTAACAATAATTAGAGCTTATTCATAGAGAAGTTTGCAGATTAAAATAAGGTCCAGTTCCATAGCAAATTCATTTTCACATGCACATGAAGGGTTTTTAAATTTAAATTCCATACCATGTGTTCCTTAGTTTGGTTTTTTTTCTTTCTTAAACATAGTATTTTTTCCCTTATTTTCAAGTTATTGGTGAAAAAATATTTTAAATACTTTTAGTTTAATAGACAGGACATTTTTATGCACCAATAACTTAAAGACATGCCAAAAACCACAAACGCATCAAACTTTCAAATGTGACCGAGTCCTGATAAGGCACAGAATGAAAATGCCTCAGTTCTCCTGGACTACCTGGCATATCTGAAAAAACAAAATTTAACATGTTTAAAACATTAAAGGAAAAACTAAGGACCAATTATGGGTCCTGGCTCATTTTCATTTGTTATATAATTTGCTGTCTCCAACCTTTTGTATATATCCATGGCTTCAACATTGCATTATTTAAAAATAATCAGAAATGCATTTAAACAAATGATATCTAAGGCTTCAGATACTTCAGTTTCTTCTTTTTAAAAACAAATTAAAAGAGAGAGACTTCCAAAGGTGAATTTTACAGAAGTTATAAACACTAATAATACTAAAAGTGTCTATAATAAATGAAATACAGGAAAATGTCCTCAGATCAAGACTTGAAGGGATTTATGATATCAAAAAAGGATATTATTGTATTTATTCTCTTAATGGTCCCATACCATACCTTAAAATACACTTTCCATGTCATGCTATCTAAGATGACTTTACAGAATGAACGCAACAATAATAACTACATGCAAAAGCATCAGTGTACTTACCAATCCTGCTGCATACATGGGCACTATAACAGGTTGCTTCTTATTACCCGTGAAGAGCTACATATGTATGTTAGAGAGAAAGAATATGTATTTAGAGAATGATTTGTCATACAATGAAACAGTTTCCAAAATACTCTTGTAATGCTTTATTATATACACTGTGAGTGAAAAATTGAAGAAATTGTTAAACTGCCCTTATGGGTTCTAGTTTTGATCTCCTAGCCCAATTCCTTAATCTCATACTTAAGGAAAAACACTAAAACATCTTTTTCTAAAGATAAGAAATTTCAGAAAAAAATCTAGATAGATTTACACTTAGAAGTTGGCATATTTAAAATAAATGAACATTTAAACAAACGAATATCTATTTTTCTGAGAAACTAGTTTATCATAATTTGTACAGAGGTGTGAAAGAATTTAAAAACATCGGTAAGTTGATTAAAGGATTTTCTAAGATACTAATAAACTCACAATGTTTCGGGTGTCTATTCCCAGGGAGCATAAAAGTTTCTTGTTGCTATGGGAGCCACCCCACTGATATCTCAAGCCATGTGCATCATGGACGTCCTGTAGTTCGGTCCACACATCCAGCAGTTCCCTGCAACGGTCACAACACAATGAAGCCACCAACAATGGGTTACTCAGTAGCTTTCACCATGAACTCTACTTTTAAAGTGACTATAAAATATTATACATTCCAATTAATATTGTGTCTGACATGAGTGTATATATATACCTATTACCTGAATGAAATCAAGAGCCAAGAGTCATTAGGAAAGTAACTAAGTTAAACTTGTCTGAAACAATCAAGCAAAAATTTAGCCTGTATGTTATTCTTATTTAATTTTAAAACAAAAGCATTTAAAAGGAGGATAGAAATCACTGAGCACTTCACCATCTTAATAGAGCTATTTAATGTTTTCTGCTTGAGTCTTGACCCATACACACACAGTTGCAATTAGAGCATACAAAAAATTCTGTATTCTTTTTTCAGACTTTAAGCATTTCCTTATCTACATATGTACCTTTTTCAATGGTTTATTATGTTCTATTAGACAGATGCATCATCACTTATTTAGCCACAATCCTGCAGTTTTAATTAAGTTGTTTTTACTGTTGGCTCCTATTGCTAGTAAGGCAAATATCTTCCTGTATTTTACAGTGTGTTACTGCAGAATTCTGTTATTTCCTTAGAATGAATCTCTTGGGTCTAAGAGTATGAATTGTCTGTACAGCTAGCATATTTAAAAAAAAATATCTAAATGGTTTAAAGATGGCAAAACATCAATCTTTTTATCTCCTTTTATTCTCAGAAATCACCCCAAAACAAAAGTCAAGAAACACAATAATATTCATCTTAAATGAAATTAAGAAATACTGCCTCCAGAGGTGGTGAGTAATGAAATGTAAGAGAAGCATCTAGGAATAACTTTGAAATTAAAATTAGAAAGTCAATCTAGACCCTGTAACATCTAAAAATTAACAGCAGTTCTGGAAAGAAAACAGAGGCATTGGAGGGAAGGTAGCTGGCACTGTAAGACAAGCGCTCAGTGCTGAGGAACAGAAGCTTCCTGACTGAAAGGCTGTGCCTAGTACTCAGTCAGATGAATGAAAAAAGACCCACACCAAGATACTTCACAGTAAAGCATCAAAACACCAGCAATGAAAGACTCTAAATTGTAAGTGTGAAGTGGGGGTAGAATAAAGTAAAATTTACTTCCTGGGAACCTTTTCTTCCCCTCCCTCCCCCCACCTACCCCAAAGGGGCTATTAGAGGATATGCTTCACCAAAATGGGATTTAACTGAAGGGAAGTCCCAAGACAACATGCAATAGGAGGCCTAGACTGATCTATTCCAGATTGGAAGGAATTGGAAGATGGAAGACTCCAGGTAAAAAATGGATTGACCCAGTTTGATAGGTCTTATCACAAGTAAAATTGTATTAACAGGCTATTGGAGGGTAGGGACAGATTTAGTGAGTTTAAAAAAAAAAAAAAGAAGAAATCATTAAATCCAGGAAAAAAGTGTACTATAAAAGAAATAGTGGCTTAGATTTGAACACTATTTACATGATCATTAGAATGAAAATACCAAATAACAATTTAACCAAAAACTATGACATAAGTGTATTGGGAAGATGAAGGGAGGAAAACAGCAGATGTAAGATCTAAATTCTCATCTATCATACTAGGAATCAAAAAAATAATATATAAAAATTTGACTGAACAGAATAGTGCTTTAGAAAATTTTTTTTAAAAAAGCTCAAAAGTGGAGAGGTAGAGAGATTTTTTAATTACATCTTTAGGCACAATATGATTTTTTAAACCTAAACAAGTTAATGTTTTAGAACCTTAACAGTTTAAGATAACCTTAGATAACCTTATAAACTAGAACAGTCAAACTAACAAATATACAAGTTGACGTAAAAAGTGTCTACTACTTACCCACTTTCAGCTAAGGCCTCTCTTGTTTTTATTGGCAAGGTACTTGTTTCCAGCAAGTGCTTCAGGGAAGTAACTTCTTCTTCAGTATCAGGGACAGATATGGAAGGAAAACATGCTTCGAAAATTCGCTCCAGGCGGTTTAGTAAAGCTGTCTGCATCAAAACATCCCCCAAAGGTTAATTTTCACTTTCATAATTTTAAAATGTTGCAGATTTATCATTAATACAGACACACACACACCCACAGACCGATATTCTGTCCACTGCTAAGGGGTGGAGGAACTACTAGACAGATACAGGAAGCACTAAGGGAAAGAAGCTAACTACTCGTAAAGAAAGAAAGTGAAGTTGCTCAGTCGTGTCAGACTCTTTGCGACCCCATGGACTGAAGCCTGCCAGGCTTCTCCATCCATGGGATTTTCCAGGCAAGAGTATTGGAGTGGTTTCCATTTCCTTCTCTAGGGTATCCTCCCGACCAGGGGTCTACCTGCACTGTAGGCAAACGCTTTACCGTCTGAGCCACCAGGGACGATAACTACTCATAGAACACTTTTAAATAATTGTGGTGATACAATGGTGACAAATAAATGTAGTTACACACCAAGCATTATGTCTGTCATTTTACAAACATGACCTTACTTGACTACAAAATTCTACAAAGAAGAAATTATTACCCCATTATACACTGAGAAAGCAATCAAAGTTTGAACTATCTTCCCAAAGCAAAAACAAAACCAAAAAACCCAGACAACATTCATACTCTTTCTACTAAACCAGGGTGTTTCTTACTACCACTCACATACTCTCTATTTAGAACAGTAAGACTGGATGCTGGGAAGAAGTGTTATGCTGTTATATAATAGTTGAACAGAACCTAAACATGAACACTTGAATTTTGTAAATACTTTTAATTTTTAAAATAAAAAATTTTTTACTGAAGTATAGTTGATTTATCAGTTCAGTTCAGTTCAGTCGCTCAGTCATGTCTGACTCTTTGTGACCTCATGAACTGCAGCATGCCAGGCCTCCCTGTCCATCACCAACTCCTGGAGTCCACCCAAACCCATGTCCAATGAGTCGGTAATGCCATCCAACCATCGCATCCTCTGTCATCCCCTTCTCCTCCTGCCCTCAATCTTTCCCAGCATCAGGGTCTTTTCAAATGGGTCAGTTCTCCACATCAGGTGGCCAAAGTATTGGAGTTTCAGCTTCAACATCAGTCCTTCCAGTGAACACCTAGGACTGATATCCTTTAGGATGGACTGGTTGGATCTCCCTGCAGTCCAAGGGACTCTCAAGAGTCTTCTCCAACACCACAGTTCAAAAGCATCAATTTTTCAGCGTTCAGCTTTCTTTATAGTGCAACTTTCACATCCATACATGACTACTGGAAAAACCATAGCCTTGACTAGACGGACCTTTGTTGGCAAAGTAATGTCTCTGCTTTTTAATATGCTGTCTAGGTTGGTCATAACTTTCCTTCCAAGGAGTAAGTATCTTTTAATTTCAAGGCTGCAATCACCATCTGCAGTGATTTTGGAGCCCCCCAAAAAAGTCTGACACTGTTTCCACTGTTTCCCCATCTATTTGCCACAAAGTGATGGGACCGGATACCATGATCTCAAGTTTTCTGAATGTTGAGCTTTAAGTGAACTTTTTCACTCTCCTCTTTCACTTTCATCAAGAGGCTCTTTAGTTCTTCACTTTCTGCCATAAGGGTGGTGTCATCTGCATATCTGAGGTTATTGGTATTTCTCCCGGCAATCTAGATTCCAGCTTGTGCTAGCTGATTTATATGTTATGTTAATTTCTTCTGTACAGCAAAGTGACTCGGTTATACATACATATTATATATACACACACACATATATATTCTTTTCCATATTCTTTTCTATTATGGTTGGTCACAGAATATTGAATATAGTCCCCAGTGCTATATAGTATGACCTTGTTGTGAAAACTTTTCAGAAATATCTCTGCTGCTAAGGAGGAAAGAATGTCTTTTATGACTAAGAAATTTAACAGTTCATTTGTCATTTTGATGATCTGTGTTATCTTTTAGATATTCCATTTCTCTACTCTTCTATGGTATATATATTTGGGGTTTTGAATAGTATACTACCTTTCCTCCAAGCAAAGCTTGCATACTCCCTAGAGTATTTTCTCTGAGAACACTGGCATTTTGGAGTATTTTTATTGATTGAAACTGTTGGATTTAGACTAACTCAGATTTTGGGGGTACTAGTAGGTTTTGTCTACATGTGCAACCTACAAGAACATTTATTTCCACTTATTATTCCCATTTATTCCTAACTTTATTTCAGATACATGTAAAATATTTTCAACTTTGCTCACCTTACTACTTAAAACAGCAACCAGGAATACAAAATGTTAGGTTAAAGTTTACTGCAAGATTAAATATACCACTAAAAAGCCACCCCACTGTAAAAGAAAAATGCCACAAAATGATGGTACTTTCTGCCAGCTAACAAAAACAAGTTAATGTTTGATTTCTGTTGTTTAGTCCGCAAACAGAAAGATGAAAAACAAAAGGAAAAACTTTCATACACCCATTTTCCAAAACATTTTCTCTTTTGAAAACTGTTATCAGAGCAAAAAACTTAATGCTGCATAATTAGTCTCAGGGTACTCTTTTGCTATCTCTACAAAAGTTAGTCTAACACCTTCATTATATTCATGTGTGTGATATGGGAAAAGGTTCTCAGTATCAATTATGAAACCTACAGTAAAGAGTAGACTCAAGATCCCAAGGCTTGTGAAACTTGAGTGCGTCAAGGGGACCCACACTTACTTGCTTCAACAGAGGGAATGGACAGACATTACTTTTAAAGGGATCAGATAACCATCTAATTGGAAACATAATAAGCACTGGCTCCTCCTGGGTAGGGAAGGTAAACAAAAACTCATACATGATCAAATTTTATTTCTTTGTAAATTAAAACAGAATCTTCTTGTATCCTCTTTGTTATCCGTTTAATGGGATAGAAAAAATATATATCTCTCTAGGGATGAAAGAAAGGATTTCAAAGCGTATTTAATCATTTTGATTAAACATTAAATGTAACTACCAGGTCTTACGTAGGAAAGTGTTAGTCATTCAGTTGTGTCTGACTTTATGATCCCATGGACTGTCCATGGAAATCTCCAGGTAAGAATACTGGAGTGGGTAGCCATTCCCTTCTCCAGGGGATCCTGCTGACACAGGGATCAAAGCCAGGTCTCCTGCATTGCAGGCAGATTCTTTACCATCTGAGCCACCAGGGTCTTAGGTATACTAGTGAGCAAATCCTCATATCAGTGGAATGTACTGAAGAAAAAGAATGTTATTTAAACCTAACCACTTTTAAATTTTGCTTTAAACTTCTTCCCCAACCTTTTTTCATAAAGAATAAAATTACGTGGAAATTTTAAAGGAAAGTTCCATATGACTTTAGGATTAGATATGACAAGTCAATTGCTTCAAATCTTTTTGCTGAATGAGGTAGAGCAGGAGTTGGCAGATTTTTTTCTCTGTAGAGCCAGATAGTGAATATATTTTGTACTGCAGGCCATCCATAAACATTTAAGTGTGGGTGTGTTGCAATGAAACTTTATTTACTAAAACAGGCAGCAGGACAGATTTGTTTCCTAGGCCATAGTTTGCTGATCCCTGAGGTAGAGCCAAAAATTTTAAATGAAGATTCAAATAACCAGAATCCACTAACTGAACAGTACCACCCACCATAAGGAGGAACTCTTTAACAGTTCAACAAGAAAGCAGCTAATAGAATTAACAAAGATTTTGATTAAAATTAAATTTCCTAACATTTTACTTTTTTAAATTAAAAAAACTATGTTAAAGTACAGTTGATTTACAATGTTGTGCCAATCTGACTTACAACAAAGTGACTCAGGTATACACATATATGCATTTTTAAAAAATATTTTTTTCCATTATGGTTTATCACAGGATGTTGAATATAGTTCCCTGTACTATACATTAGGACCTTGTTGTTTATCCATTTTAAATGTAAATCATTTGCATCTACCAACCCCAGACTCACAGTCCATCCCTTTCCCTCCCTCCCTCTTGGCAGCCAGAAGTCTGTTCTCTATGAGTCTGTTTCTGTTCTGTAGATAGGTTCTTTGGTATCATGTTCTAGATTCCATAATATCATTTTTTAAAAGTATATTGTTTTAACTATCCACAAGACCAGTTTGATGCTAAAAGGGCTACACCTTGTTCACGGCAATAAACAATGCCAAATTTCACTTACTACCAGTTAATTCCAGTAAGTAAACGGCTGATGTAATTATACAACTTCAGTAGAGGACTGTGGACCCATGGGGCTCAGACTCAGTTTCAGAGCTTATAAACGGAAGCTCTCAGGGCCTACCTCACAGGGTGAAGAATGAGTTAGAGGAGCGAATGCCTGACACTCAGTGTGTGCTCACGAAGTGACAGCTTTGATGACTACTGTTGTTATACAGCTGACACATACAGACAAAATGGCAAGCCAGGGAGTAAAACAGATGTCAGAACTAGGCTCACTAAGGCTATTTCTCTACCACTATTTGACATTCTATATCATGATTAAAATACTTGTCTCAATTTATATCAATTTCTACCATACTGTAACAAGAAATTAAATAATCAAATATTTTGCATCCTCCTGAAGTTCTTCCTATCAAGTTATGAGACGAGTATCTAAGTAAAAATATCTGTCATTAAGAGCTGCTTATACAAACAGAACCTGTTACTGCTACTTCTTGGGGATTTTAAATTTTGAAAATTGGTGAACATTTTGGTTGATAGTTGGCATTTGTGACTTAAATCTTGATCACATCATAAAATACAAAGAGTGTAAACCACACGTTAGGTGTGTTAAGTGCTTTACTTCCCAAGAAGCACAATAAAGTTCAAAGATGTGATGGAACATAGTCCAAATAACTTAGTAAGTAGAAGAGGTATAAGAATATAATATTAATGCCAGAAGAAGAGCAACTAACCTACCACAAAAACAGCTTCTCCTGTGATCAGGCAGATAACCTTCTTAAAACAAACAGATTTTCTGAAACACTGTAATCAGACACTAAATTTTTAAAAACTGACTGCTATTTTGAGCAAGATTGATACTGCTAAAGGTTTCAGG